AATGTAGTGATGGTACTGAGCTGGGGCCTCAAGAAGCCTTGCAGCATCTGCTCCCACTTTTGGAGTGCTTCCCCCTGATGGAAACCAGCTTGGGCCAGCCTGTTGGAGGATGAGACCATGTGGAAGAGGCTCTGGTTGTCCTAGCAGAAGCCACCCTACAGCAGCCTATAGACAGCTGACCCTAAAATATGTGGAAGATTCTGCTAAGCTCAGCAGCGCCACCTACTTGACCCACAGCTGACCATAGCTGTGTGAGAGAGCCCAGTTGAGACCAGAAGTTCCCAGTGCACCCATGGACTCATGAGCAAAGATCAATCCATATTGTTTGGAGGCAGGGAGTTTGGGGGTAGTTTGTTATTCAACCATAGCTCACTGACACAATTCCCCAAGCAGGAAAGGAGCCTGGTCATCGAGCCTGGGACATGGGTTCCAGTCCTGTGCCTATCAGTGAATTTTCACGTGGGTGGGTCGTGTAGCAGGCTCTGGAGCACCGTCAGGGAGTGTAGTTCAGATTCTAGCAGGCCAGGAAGAGAATGTGGGCAAGGGCTGCATGTGGGTGACCCTGGGTCTCATCCTCCCTGCAGCAGCACGAACAGACTCTTCAGAGGAGTCTTCAGAGGAGTTTGTCAGGTGGGGGAAAGAAAGGTGAGTGCTCTGGGCAGAGGAGACAGCAAAGGACAAGATGTACAGAGAAATGGGACCACAGTAATTCTGTGCTGGAGATAAATAGGGTATGGTGATGAAAGAGAGGGCATGAGAACTGCTAGAACCTCGTCTGGCAGAGTGCTTATCTCCTAAGTGGCACCATTGCTACTGCTGTGCAAAAGGCTGCCAGCATGGCAGGTGCAAGGTCACTGTGGGATAAGGAACTTGGACTTTACCTACAGGACAATGGGGAGCCATGGCTGGTGACAGGTGTGGTGTGAGTTGGTCTGGCCAGAGCTTGGAGGCTGGCTTGATGGGGTATGAGTGGAAGCAGGGAGACCTGGAGGAGGCCTTGACATTCTTTCAGATTCTCACCTGAAAGAGACAATGGTGGCCAAAGAAGGTGATGGGCAGTGAGAAAACTCATGAGATGCCCCAGGGAGAAACTGCCAGAGCTTGGTAGCCTGTTGAATGTGCCTGGTGATGGGGAGGAAGTTGACGATAGCAGTCTGCATCTGGCATGGACAGCCTGTGTGGTCCACAGCCTGAACCTTTTATCTCTATCTTCCTCAAGCCTCTATTTGAAGTGGTAGAAGGTTCAGGTGATGATGGCTCAGATGATGTGGGACAGCCCAAACTATAGCCTTCCTTCCCTTGAGTCTGGGTGGTGGGGCCTTGAAGAGGTAATTTCTCTTCCCTGAGACTGGTTGTCATCTGTGAAGCAGGAGCAAGAGGCTTCCTAGGGTCTCAGGAAACATGTCTTAGACTTGCCTTGAAGTGTGCAGGGGACAGCCCCACCTCAGGTGGGAAAAGCCTCCCCAGGACTGTCCTGACCTCAGGTGGGAAAAGCCTCCCCAGGACTGTCCTGACCTCAGGTGGGAAAAGCTTCCCCAGGACTGTCCTGACCTCAGGTGGAAAAGCCTCCCCAGTACTGTCCTGACCTTGGGTGGGCAAAGCCTCCTCAGGAATGTCCTGCCCTTGAGTGGAAAAGCCTCCTCAGGACTGTCCTGACCTCGGGTGGAAAGGACTCCCCAGGACTGTCCTGACCTCAGGTGGGAAAAGCCTCCCCAGGACTGTCCTGACCTTGGGTGGGAAAAGCCTCCCCAGGAATGTCCTGCCCTTGAGTGGAAAAGCCTCCCCAGGACTGTTCTGACCTTGGATGGGAAAAGCCTCCCCAGGTCTGTTCTGACCCAGGTCTTGCTGACAGGTTCCCTTGCCAGTTGGCAGGGCACTCTCTGCAGAGAGGTTCAGGCACTGGCTCATCTCCTCAGGGCCTTTGGGAAAGCCCAGTTCCTGCTTCATGAAGCCCTGAGATAGTTTTAAACTCAAGTCCAGAGGCTGCGTGTGTGTGTGTGTGTGTGTGTAGGAACTTTACCCCCTTAACCCCTTCCCTCAAATTATTTTGCTGCCTCCATTGGTGCACTATGTTGGTGCAAGGCCATCCCAGGGAGGCACACATCCTGAACTTGGTTTTCTTTCTGCCAAATTTGCTGTGTGGCCTTGAGTAAAGCCCTGGCCCTCTCTGGGCCTCAGTTTCTCCAGTTCTAAAACAGATGGGTCCAAGTCAGAGACCGTACGCTGGTGGCATGAAGGCCAAGTTCAGCCCACAGTCATGTTTTTGTCATGGTGTTCATCATGGTGTTTGTCAACATACTGAAAAAGTGGGATATTTTACTTAAAAACCTGGATGTTTGTCCTTTCTTGAAAAATCAGAGGATCTGACCATGAAGAGGCCCACATTCCCATGTGGCAAAATTGCCCTTGTGTTGAGCAGCTTACTTTCTGAGACTTGGTTCCTGCTAAGACCCCTAGTGTCTGGGTTCTCATCACTATAGTCCTGGGCTTTCTGGTGTTTTTGGTTCAGCCTCTAATGATTTTGGCCTTTGCAATGTCAGTTTAGTTGAAAAGCCACTTTAGGAATAGACCAAAGGGGCTGGTGGATACCTCTGCCCAATGCAGAACCAAATATTTATTACCATAAGCCATGTTTGAAGAATCCCGTAGTTGCAGAGAGAATAGTGATAATAATTAATAATAATATTTAGCATTCATCCATTGCTTTGCAACTCAAAGTGCCATACAGTCATTACTGGGAGGGTCCTCACAACAGCCCTGTGAGGTAGGTGTTATTATTCTGATTTCACAGGTGGAGAAACTGGGGCTCAGAGCACAGCTGAGCAGGGCACCAGAGAGAGGGCAGGCCCGAGTTGGGAACCCACGGTGAGGGAGGACACAGGGATGACTCTTCTGAGATTGTGTTTACATGACTATCACTGAACACTCATGTGGGGGAGCTGGTCAGAATCTCCCCATTCCCAGGTGCCAAGGAGGCCAGAAGCAGAAGGGTTGCAGGGTTGGGAAGCCATCCTGCTCATGGCAGATCTGGTAGGTTTTCCAAAGCAAAGATAAAATGTGACCTGCAGACTCCCAAGAAACTCCTCAGCTCCCTATCCATAGGTGTACCTACCTCATCCACCCACCCACTTTCCCATCTACTCATCCATTCATCCACTCACTTATCTATCCATCCGCCCATCTGTTTATCCCTTCATCTATCCATCTACCCATCCATCCATTTATCCATCCACCCACCCCACCTGCTTATCCATCCACACATCCACCCGTTCACCTACCTACTCACACATTCATCCATCCCTCCATCCATTCACTACATGGACCCTTCACATGCTCACTTCTCCAGACACCCAAGTTAAAGAAAAATGGAAAAAAAAAATGTCCAAGAGAAGAAACCATGCAACCAACCAGTCACTTTTATTTGCCCATGCTGTGATCCAGGCTCAGTGTGGACATTGAGGAGTCAGACACAGCCTCGATACTGAGGGGCTCCCAGTAGGTGGGGCCACGGGGCTATGCTGTGGTCTCAGAGGTTTCTGGTTTTCACCCATGGGTGTGGGTACAGAGTTCAGAGGTGCCATCTCTTGGTGGTTCAACACAATCACACACAATCTCTGCTGTCTGCCTCACACCACCAGCCCTCACATGCAAGCAGAGACCCTGGGGAGCAGCAGATGCAAAGGCACGCAGCTCCATGCCTGAGACCTGATCTCCCAGGCACATGGAGAGAAACAGATACTTGGGTAGCACGGAAACACACAGACACATACACACACGAGTACGGCGGAGGCACTGCAAGATGCAAAGTCACGTGACTACCCCCAAGTCCCTAAGGAGCTACAGTAAACACACATACCGGAAATGCAAACGGACACATCTTAGAACACCCCCAGCTGCGGCCTGAGGCAGTTTCTAGGCTGAGGCTCTGGGTGTAGCTGGACCCAAAGCAAAGTTGCCTCCCCCGAACCTCTCCTCGCTTGGCCTCGGGAGCAGGATATCAGGAAATCGCTGGGGGCCTGCTGTCATCGGCCCTCCCCCCTGCTCTGGGTCCCTCATCTGAGGACTGCATCTCACTTCCAGGACACACAGGCAATGGGCTAGTGTCTTGGTGAGGTGTGGGCTCCCTGAACTGGCTCTGCTGCATAATGATGGTGAAGTCCCTGTGAGGGGCACATGACTACCACCACAGTAACTCATTTCGGAGGCTACCCACCCAGTGGCCCTGCTTGAAAGGCCTGAACTTAACAGGCTGAGGGCTGGGGATTTGCTTTTCTTTCCCAGGTAACGTGGGATGAGATGACGCCAACCCCAGGCATCCCAGGCATCTGGTGTGCCGGCAATAGATCAGGAATCCAGCTGTGTAAGGTGGGCTGTGGGCCTGACCCCAACCAGGCATCGGCCCTCCTTACCCAAGTGAGTACCAGATTAAGAAGAGGCATAGCTGTGGAAATGATACAGCAGACTCGATATATAAATAAAATATTCATATAAAAATAGTTCTTAGCAAAATATTCTCTCTTATCGGTGCTGTGGCTCATTTCTGAAAGGATGGAAACTGCTGGGAAGTTGTTATTATATTTTTTCTCGTCGCTCTATTATCCAAACTGGATTCTTTCTAATGGTGAAGTTTCGACTAGGGACGGCAAAGGATGGGCAAACACTAGCTCTGGAAAAACTCTCCGAAATCTGGGACCAGGCTTAAATTTCTTCGTGATAAGGTAGCAGCAGAAGAGCAAAAAAAAAAAAAAGAATCTATCTATTTTATACTATATATCATATAAAATGTGTGTGTGTTAGTATTATCATACTGTATAAGGGATATCTGCTCTGTGCTTAAACATCTAGTGCGTGCCCAAGGGGGTACTTGCAAACTCAGATCGTAGAATATCGGCTTAGGATAAGTCTCTATGGTATATTCTACATGGCTCCTTGTCCTAGCAACAAAATCAATCCGCGTAGGAAACGCAAGCCAGCTTCACTTTGATTGCAGAAAACGGATCCCGACGAGGTGGAAGAATTCTTTTTAATTAAATAAATTAATATTATTTTATCAGAATAAATTGTTAAATATTGCTATGATGTGGCCCAGGGGTCCAGAGTTCCTGCTGCAAAAGGCTTCGCTCTAGCCGCAGAGGGACCTGGGCTGTGTCTGGGGGAGGGTGGAGCAGCATTGGGTGTGGAACAGAATAGTCGAGGGTTCTGAGAGATTTTTTTTTCCCCCACAGATGCCTGCAGGAAACCCAGGAAAAGTACCCTCCTCAGCAGAAAAGACAAGCTCAGCATTCCTGCGGTTCCCTGTGAAGATCCAGGCAGTGACCTGCCAGGGAGCCCGCAGCTTGGAAACGGTCCGGTCCTCCCAGCAATCTGACTTGCAGTGGGAGGGTGGTGTGCACACAGGGCTCACTTGCACGTGTACATCTCCGTGCGCTCGCTGCATGTGTTGCACTTGACATAGCAGCACCAGTGGAACTTACAGTTGCACTGCCACACGCGGGCGTACTGGTGGGTGTTGTAGCCACGCCCACAGCACATGAGGTCACAGCCGCTGGCCTGGGGGGCCGTCTTGTTGCAGGCGCGGCCCTGGGTGCCCACACTGCCGGTCACCGGGTCCTCTTCGCAGTAGTTGGGTGACTTCTCGATGTACACCAGGTCTGTGTCCATGGGCTTGCGGTATGACAGTGGCTTCTTGATCTTCAGGAAGGTGGGCCTCTTGTTGCGGCTGGCACGCACAGGCTCCACGTGAACGGCCTCGTTGTACTTGTCCTTGAGCACATAGCCCAGCTCCCGAAACTGTGGCAGTGTGGTCCAGCACGTCTTGGTGGTGCACGAGCCTGACACGCCGTGGCACTTACATTCCAGCTTCATGTTCTCCTCCAGGATCTGCAGGGGAGGGCGGGGAAGAGCACAGCACAGGTCACTGCACGCCAAGGCCAAATGCAGCCCCCAGATCCCCCTACCCCTGCCCCACCTATCTGGGTCTGGCTTTAGTTTTTTCTTTCTGGTGTAGGAAACTCAGACCTGGATTCCAGACCCTCTCACTCCAGCCTTTGTGCTGTGCAAGCCACTTCAGCCCTCTGTGCAGTAGTTTCCCCATGTGTAGAATGGGGATAACGATAGTGCCTAATTATACTCATACAATGAAATACTACACAGCAAGGAGAAAGAATGAATTGCTCACACATGCACAAAGAGTGGATCTTTAAGAGGTAATGTTGGCCGGGCGCGGTGGCTCACGCCTGTAATCCCAGCACTTTGGGAGGCCGAGGCGGGTGGATCATGAGGTCAGGGGATCGAGACCATCCTGGCTAACACAGTGAAACCCGGTCTCTACTAAAAAAAAAAAAATACAAAAAATTAGCCAAGCATGGTGGCGGGAGCCTGTAGTCCCAGTTACTCAGGAGGCTGAGGCAGGAGAATGGTGTGAACCTGGGAGGCGAAGCTTGCAGTGAGTCGAGATCACACCACTGCACTCCAGCCTGGGCGACAGAGCGAGACTCCGTCTAAAAAAAAAAAAAAAAAAGGTAATGTTGAGTGGAAGAAGTTGGACACCAAAGAGGACATACTTTATGATTCCATTTATATGAAGTTCAAGAATTGAATAGCGGATGCTTTTCATTTAAACTTTATTCACCTACAAAGACAGTGGACTAGAGTTGGGCCATGAGCCATATTTTGCTTACCTTTGTTTTAGAATAGCCCAGCAACAAGAGAAGGCAACATTTTACCCAGCACCCAGAGTACAGCATATTCAGATGATTTTCAGGGTACTTTAAAAAATTGTTTTTATTTCTTTCTCTCACTTTTCTTCCTTCCTTCCTCCCTCCACCCCTTTCTTCCTTTTTCAACTATAAAGAAATATCTTGGGACTAAAGCTTCTCTTCCTTCCTCCTCCATCCTAAGACACGAATTGAGCTCCTGCTGTGTACCAGGCATGGAGATGGAGATTTCCCGGTGGGCACAGTTGCCGGGTCACCGTGTGTGAGCATTTTTATTATCCTTCATTCAGATTGTCAAATTGCTTTTGCCTGTTATGTCATGAAAGAATGAATGGAGGAAGGGGTAAGTGGGTGGACATTTATTAACCCCCTGCACACACACTGGGCCCATGCTTTTATGTATGGCATCTTATTAATTCTGTGAAGCCAGTATGATTGACTACTTTTTACAGAAAAAAAACCTCGAGGTTCAACTAAGTCTCAGAGCTGGTCTGTGAGACATTCTGAGGCAAGGGGCTTGGAGCTGAGGTGTCTCCAACTGAGTGTCTGCTGGCCACTTAGTTCCCATGTGACGCTTCTTCTCCGGGTCTCAGTTTCCTTAACTCTAACATATAGTGAAGCAACAATTCCATCTTTTCTGAGAAAATTAGGGTGCTGGAACGGAATCAGACATGCAAAAAACACTCACTAGTCTTGCCTCTGGCCCTGAGCCTGTTCAGGATGCTGGGGATACCCAGGTGACAAGATTAAGTTCCTGTCTCTGAGGATTGGGTTCATGTTCAGGGTCTTCCTGGCCCTAAGAGCTCTGCTTCCAGGAGAGGTGACCAGTGTTTGGTCAATAGAACCACCAGGGAGGGAGTGCTATCACATTTCAACCTCAATATCTGCAATCAAATAAGCCAGTGATCCCTCCATCCAGAGTGTTCAGGAACAGGAGTGGCTGGTTGAAGGCTCTGGTTCTAGAACACCTGGCATCACAGAGTACCTCCTGTAGGCAGCACTCTCCCAGGACCCCCACACACACAGCCCATGTTGGATGAGCAGCCCGTTCAAATGCAGGCTACGTCCCACAAATCTGTGTCCCCAAAACAACACAGATATCCCTTTTGATTGTCAGTGAGGGGATAGTTCCTAGGTCTCCAGCCTGCCTTTCTGCCTTGGCTTAAGAAGTAGGAGAAAGAGCAAAGGCTTGGAGGTGTGATGACACAATTGGGGGCAGAGTTAGGCAGGTGTTTCTGATGCACTCAGGCCCAGTTGAGCTGGAGGCTTTGACATAGAGATACCTGGGGGATGCTCAAAATGGATTCTGACAATACTGAGTGTTGGCGAGCATATGGAGCACCTGGAGCACTCAGGCACTGCTGGAGGCATGCAAAGGTGGTACATGTATGTTAGAAACCTGTTTTCCAGTATCTAGTAAGGCTGAAGATACACATGCCTATGACTTAGACCTTCAATGTCCAAGACACATACCCTAGAGAATCACTGTGTATGCAAAGGAAACAGGTTCAAGAATGTCCACACAGCAATGTTCATAATCGCTCTGACCTGGGCACCATCCAGATGACCATCCACAGTGAGTGGATAAGCCACAGCATGTGCATTTCAATAGAACACAATAAGGCAATGACAATGAACAGCTCTAGCAAGCCACACTGACAGGGACTAACTCAGAAACACAGTGTGGAGGGACAGAAGCAAGCCAGAAATGATTTCCACAGAGTGATTTCATTTGGATCAAGGTCAAAGGCAGACAAAAGTGGATTGTATTGTTTAGAAGCCCATCCACCAATATCAAGACAAGGTTATTCCCAGGGCGGGGAGGGGCTGTGGCTGGCCAGGGGCACCCAGCGGTCTTCTGGGGGTCCTGGCAATATTCTGCTCCTTGATATGGGTTATGGTTACATGGATCATGTTTTGTAACTATTCTTTTAAGTGAACAGGGATGCTCTGTGTACCTTTTTCACATAAGCAATATCTCAATTTATAAAAATGCAATGGATACAATCAATGGCCAACAAGCACATGAGAAGATGTTTAGTAGCACTGGTCCCCAAGAAAAGGCAAATCAAAACCACAACGACATGCTCCTTTACACTCACTAGGAGGCTAAGACAATAACAAGTGTCGGCGAGGGTATGGAGCCATCAGAACCCTCCTGCACTGCTGGCGGGCATCGGAAATGAGGCAGCCACTCTGGAAAACAGTCTGGCAGCTCCTCAGAATGTTAGACACAGAATGTGTGACTCAACAATTCCACCCCTAGGTGTATGCCCAAGAGAAATGAAAACATGTCCACAATAAAATGAGTACATGATTGCTCATAGCAGTAGTATTCATAACAGCTAAAAAGTGAGAGGAATAACTCCCTTAACTATTAACAGATAAGCAAAATGAGGTATACAATGGAATGTTATTCAGCCATAAAAAGGAATGAAGTACTGACACATGCTACAATGTGGATGAGCCTTGAAAACATTATATGCTAAGTGAAAGTAGCCAGATGCAAAAGGCCACATGTCATGTGATTCCATTTACATGCAATGCCTAGAATAGGCAGATCCATAATGACACATGGGAGATTAGTGGTTGCAGAGAAGAAGGGAAATGGGGAGTGGCAGCTAATGGGTACAGATTTCTTTATGAGGTGATGAAAATAATGTAAAATTGATTGTGTTGATGGTCGCACATATCTGCGAATATATATTAAAAACCATTGAATTGCTTACTTTAAGTGGTGACACTGTATGGCATGTGAATTATACCTCAGAAAAGTGGTTTTCTTTAAAAAGGCGACGGGAAGACCCTGGAAGGTTTTCATGGGAAAGCAATACCAAGGCTTTCCTGTATTTCCACATCTGTGATACTGGGGGCTACTACCATGGTAGGCCCTAAGTGATGGCCCTAGTGCAGAAAGCGGATCCTGTGTCCTGGATGGGGGTCGCTGCTCCTCCTGCCCCTCTTGGACCCCTGAATGTGGCCTCCCTGTTCCTCTGAGGCCATTGATGGCCTGATGCCATGGTGGCATTGAATGGGCCCTGATCAGGTGGCATCCAGCCCGCTAGCCCTGCATACTCTGCATTTTGAGAGCTGCAGTGACTGCATTATGTCCACATTAAGCCAGGCATAATCACAGCTGCCTGGACAGGGCTGGCCACCAGACAGGCACCCAACCCTCTCTCTGAGGCAAGGGACAACAGCAGAGGAAGTGTGTGAGGGACAAAGCTGCACTCTTTGCACTCTACTGCTTGAGGCCAGGCTTCTGAGCTGCCTGAGGAGACTTCTGAGCTCCCTTCCCCACTTGAAGAGCCTGGGCTTTGTGCTTCAGTGTCAGGAGGTCTGAGGGCTTTCAGGCTCAGGCTCTAAGATGACACGGCTCCATGCAGCTTCCCAGTGACTGGCATACAGCAGGTGTGCAGAAAACGCCTGAAGGTAATTCACCAAGGGGGTGCATTCAAATCACTCCACAAGCAGTATGCCCCAGGCCTGAGCAATTGTCAGTTGAATGTTCAGGGTCCCACAGGCTCTGCTAGGCTAGTCAGGTATCAACTCTCCATTGCTGGATATAGGTGAAGTCGAGAGGATTCAAGGTAAAGCCATGGCAAAGGTGGGGGACAATCGAGGGGCTTGGAGCAGCTGGCAGAATGTCAGTATTTTATATTGGTGGCTGCACCATTGGGTTAAAGGTTAGAGACCAGCTGCATGAAACTGCTAGAGTTTGCCATTTTGCCATCTTGTGATGCTGAGATTTCACAATACATGTGAAAAATAAATAAGGAAGTAAATCTGTGAATCTGGTGTCTGTCCTCAGTAGGCCCTTCCAGGTGGTTTGACCAGTGGAAGGCACTGGCAGGAAATCAGAGGGCAGGAGAAAAGTTCTGGGAGTTATTTCCCCTGCTTGCTCCCTGCTGGGCCCTTCAGGATGTCTGCACACCCCTATCACAGGTCACAGCTCTTGCTGGGAAGTCCTCTCTCTACAGCCCCAGGATTCTAGCAGTCCAGCCTCCCCTGTCTTTGGGCCTAAGGAGTAACCGCTCCCCAGTGTAGCCAGCCCCAGGGTGCTGCACCAACTCTTTGGGTTCCTTTACTTTTGTCCTCTTTTGTTAGCAAACTCTTTCTTTTTTAAAACAGCTTTACTGCAGTACAATTCACATACCATACAAT